TTCAGATGCCCAGACCGTAATCTGTACCCCCCTAGTAAGTATTTGAAACCTCCTGCTATCCACTACCTTTACAAGAGCCAGGTCAGACCAAAAATGAAGTACTGTTGTCATGTTTGGGCTTCAGATGCCCAGACCGTAATCTGTAATGCCCTAGTAAGTACTTGACTCTTCCTGCAATCCTCTACTTTTAAAAGAACCAGATCAGACCAAAAATGAAGTACTGTTGCCATATTTGGGCTTGAGCTTCCCAGACCGTACTCTGTACCGCCCCAGTCAGTACTTGAGCCCTACTGCTATGCTCTACTTTGAAAAGAGTCAGATCAGACCAAAAATGAAGTACTGTTGCCATATTTGACCGCAATGTCCAGCCTTGACAAAGTTCAAATGCTTGTTCAAGTCCTTATGTGTGACGAACTATTCTTCACCCTTCAACCTCACTCGAACAGACGGGGTGTGGTTAAGCCTCTCACTGCTCTACCGCTACTTCTATGGAGCGTGTTCATTGCCTCGTCTCGCCAAGTCACGGCAAGAATACGCCATGCCACTTGCATAGTAGAAACCCCCACCCACATTCCCTCCGTAAGTTCCGTTTGATGATCTTCTTCCAGAGAACCACTGCCCTGTGAAACCGGCAACCAACAGGATGTTTTCATGATAACTTCAGTCTTAACTTATTCAAGGCTAGGGTTAGACAATATCTTCTACTCCTATGTAGACAAATGGCCTCCGAACTAACTATCTACCTTGAGTAGCCCCTGGGCCTTGTAAAGAGTTAGGCTTACTGTAAAAAAAAAGATAGGTAAATGGCGAATTAATGTGCAATAAGAATAAAGCTGTTTCTAAATGTGGACAATGCTACGTGATTGCCGTGAAAGATAATAATGTCAATACCCACTTGTAACTGCGTCACCGGAGAAAGTAGCTTGCCTTTGCGCTTGTGGTAATGAAGTTAGTTGGGTGTAATGAAGAGTGAAGGAGAACCAGAGGGTGCCAATGAGAGGACAGGAATGCGTCATTACCAGCATAGCTGATCGAAATGACGTCAACGCCATCTGATGTAAAGCAAGAAAATAAGAAGTGTTGAATCATTAATCAAGAATGACAACTCTTCAAATTAGTCACCTCAGATTGGGAATGGTTGAAATACTTGTTCCTCTATCCGACAACCCAAATATAAAAAGGATATCATTTGAGATATATTAACTGTATCAAACCAAATAGTAATATTATAAATGCAAGATAATGTAAATTCTACGCCTTGAGGCTAGTGTATTGGTGATGATGGCGGGACAATGCTGATGATATAAGTATTCATATTTAGGATAAGGATAATCCTATAAAAAATAAACTTTTTTCACCAAGTGTCTGAAAAGTAGGATTTTATGATTAAACATTTTAGACGATTTTAGTTGTCTTTGTGTCAAAGTTGGAGATTCTCAGATCACACTCACTCGCAATTTTTTTTGTGACTGTTGTTTTTTTTCTCTATGGCTTATAAACTATTTGAAGCTTATTTAAGCCAGTAAAAATTATTTACATTGCTCGGATTATCATCCTCATCTTTGTTGCCATATTTATCACAATGTTTCGGCCGTTGTACGTTCCGGCCTTCTTCAGGTGGTTGAAATGTTGAACTGAACCCTTTATTTCGATCACTGGGGTAGACTGTTCTAGTTCCACGTGCCATGTTTAATGGATGTCAATTATCATTTATCTCCTGTTAATCTCTCCCTCTCCAAGTTCTCCACCGCCTTAACCAGGTATTGAACTCACGCTGTTTAGGTCCTGTCACTGGATCTAACCAACGCCTTTATCCACTGTGCCATGTGTCCATGAGGCCACAAAAAATATCCCGAGCCGACCAAGCATAGAAATGAATAGAATATGGGAACCAGTTTTAAGGAGTGCCGGAGAAAAGAGATTTACAACAAAAATTGCAATATGAGCTCTGGTAAAACTTGTAATGATAACAGCAAAATTGCATTATGAGCACTGATAAAAATGTTTCTTTATTCTATGTGTAATATTTCCTGATTACTGATCAGGGAAATATTACGCATAGAATGAGGTTTTTATATGATTATTATTCATTGATAATTTACATTATTTACAAGTTATCTCTTATCCCGATTATTTTGTTGATATTGTTCTGCTCTCCAACCGTCATCAGATGTTTCCGGGTAATCTACAGGGAATCTCGAACTGAACCCTTTATTTAATGACCAGCACCATCCTCAAGAAACATCTTGTAATTGATTAATTGATTTACGGTTTATCAACCTTTCGTAAGTTATTTTAAGCAAGAAAAATATGTTTATCTTTACGTCCTGTTACTGGATCTAACTAACGCCTTTACCCACTCTGCCACGTGTTCTTGTTCCAGTAAATATTGTTTTAAATCGTAAATAATAATGATTTACTTGTACAAGTAACTAACCACTAGCTGGTGGGGAGGAAAAATGAATTCATTCCAAAACATAATCTGGCATTGAATCGAAAGTAGTGTCAGGACATACCCTGAACGTAACATGAAAATTCAGGATATGGAATTGATATATACAAGACACTTTGAATATCTTGGCATATGGATCAGTTATAACAAATTGAATATAGAAGATAAGGGAATTTAAAGATAGAATAGACTGAACAAGGGATAGTTTTACCCAATACCACAAGTTGCTACAAAACCAAAGAACTCGATTCATGTTTTTAAATGGAATCATTAGATCTAGACACATATGGATCTGATGCATGGCGCCCAACTTATTCAGAAATAATGAATGAAATAAAAAAAGTATATTGAATCACTTGTTAAGCCTGCAGCTAAGAAAGTTGGTTCACTTTTAAATTTATACAGAAAGATAACAGCTTTATATCTATCCCGAGGACACAACTAATGAATTCCTTTTTAAATAGTAAGTGTGATTAGGTTCTATGCTAACAGGTTCTTCTCTTGAACTTCTTGTTTATACTCCTGATCTCGCTTCTTGCGTTTAAATATTTGAAGATCATTGTCAATCATTATCATCTGCTCTTTTATTGTTCTTCCCGGATTAACTTTTTCAACCGACATGAAGAAGAACGAGTATATTGAGTCAATTGTTAAGTCTGCAGCGAAGAAAATTAGTTCAATATGTCGTGTTAGAGAATTTTTCTGGCTAGAATATTAATAAGTCTACCATTCGTCCTTGATTTGAATATTGATGCCATATATGGACCACGGCTGCAGTTATATATTTAGAGATTCTTGATTAAATCCAAAGAAGAATCCGCAATATTATTAATCCTTACCTGGCATCTCGGCTTCAGTCACTTTATCACCGCCGTAATGTAGCATCTATGTGTCTTTTCTATAAATACTTTCATGGTAATTGTTATAATTAAATTTCCTATATGGTACCAAGACTTTATGTAATTCAGTGCAGGACTAGATTGGCAACAATCAGTTAAACCGGTTAAATGTAACCGTAAGTTCTATGCAAACAGTTTCTTCTCCTCGATTGTGGATCCTTCAACTTTGATCTTCAAAAAATTAAATGCTGTGTCAACCGTTATATTCTTTTTGCTTCATCTTCTTCCTTTGTCCTCTCTCCTTAATAGGAATTTTTTCTCATAGCCTCTTGTGCCTGAGTGTCTTCATTGCCTTGTTAGGGGGTAAAATGATTTAAAAAAAAACCTCTCTCAATAAGTTTGTTCATTATCTATCTATCTATCTATCTATCACAAAGAATAAACATTACAGAAAGTGAGAGAACATAGGAGGCTGTGGAGATCCATGATCATTCGAATTCTGAAGAGACGTGACAGAGAACCATCGTAGAAATTTTCATTTGTTTTTATTAAACGAATATATATATATATATATATATATATATATATATATATATATATATATATATATATATATTTATGCGTGTGTGTATGCTTGTTTGGGTTTATGTATAGATATCCAAATTTAAAAAAGAGATTACATTAACTCAAAAAGGCTTATGCAGAAGAGTCTCTCTTTTTTAAATTTGTTTTTTTTTATTTTTTAATGTAACTATAGTAACATTTCGATTTCATTTTTGCCTTGAAAAAAATCGCAATACGAAACGCGTCGGCAAAAAACTAAGATTTTTTTTCCAATTGTCATCTATCTATCTATCTATCTATCTATCTATCTATCTATCTATCTTATTCCATGCACGTCTATCT